ACATAGAATTATTGTCATAGTTAGCTAAGCATGGAAGACTATCCGAGAAGTCGACCTGATTAGATAGTCGGTCCGGAGAGTTAGCACCTCGGGGCTCGACATACGGGTCAGTCTTAAGGCGTTCTACCGCGCGTATGCCTATGCTACGGCGATCGAGAAAAAGCCCTCGGCTGGCCTACCTCTGCGTTTGCATGTAAAAGCCTTCGTATGTGAGTCAGTAGCTCAGCAGAGATACGCCCACCTAAGGGATGGTGACAGCTCCCGCAGGTGGAGGTAATGTTGTACCTCGCGGGATCCCTAACCTGTCGTAGGGAGTCGCGAGAGGTATAGCACGCGCGCACGGTCGGAGTTGGTATTGCGTAAAGTAACAAAAGGAAACTCCTGCGTGACACGACCGTGAGGTCCGACACCAAAAACTACTCTGCGTATGGGTGTGGGACCGCCGCGCGCGACTGCGTGCTCGCAAGCGCCAAGGCCAAGGCCGCCGCACGCGTTCCCGTCACGCGCCCATGCTGCCCCGCTCTCGGATATATATTATATCAAGATCTGGGATGCTGCTAGTGCCAGAGTTTGAACATGGGCAGCAAATACTCATGCTCGTGTGTAGCTAGTGTCTTAACACACTGGACAAAGTCACAATCTAAGTTTAGATTGTGGCACGTTGGTGTTGAAAAAGTGTCACGGCAACTATTTACCCTGCCCCGTCAGCGTGAGGTGAGCAACGAGTGCCAAGGCAACCCCCCCCCCCCCCCCCCACGGGGCGGGTGTGAGTGCTGCTGCTTGCGCACGTGGCTGGTAGCTGGTGGCTATATGCAGTGCGACGTGGCAGCTTGTTGAGGATCTGGAAGACCCCCCTGGCTAGGGGGCTGCACTACAGTGAAATCTGTGGCTGATCAAAATCTCAGCCAACCACAAATTATCAACATCATTTTTTTTTTTGTCGAGGCAGCAGGCCAGCAACATCTTGAAGGCCAGGATCTGTGGATCTTGGTAGACCTCTGCTCGTGGTCATCCAAGAGCCTGATATCACCCTTCTACCACTAACCTACTATCCCCCAATCCTTCTTCACTCATCTTTTTCTTTTTCTCTCCTCTCCTCCCCACTCACCATCTTCTAGTAATCGCATCTACTCCTCCCCACCTTTTCCATATCCTTCTCTCCCATTCTACCACCCTCCTCTCCCCCTTCCCTCCCCCAACTACAACCCCATAATCTCCCCCATCTCCCACTTTACTTTTTCTTTCTCTTCTCACCTATTACTCTCCTGCCTCCCCCTGTCGGGCACCCTGGACCCAAACGGTTCCTCTCCCCTCGACGAGATTCGCACTACCATCTCACGTGACCCGCTGGTTACGGGGCGAGCCGACCCACGACGACCCACTCTGCTCTGGCGGTCCCCTCCCTCTCACCGGTGGTCCCATGTCGCCATACCACAACCCATATCTCCCCCCAACTCCCACCATGTCTACTTCTCATCCTCCACCGCTCACGGAGAGCGCTACAACCGAGGAGATCGTCGCGGCGCTATCCACATCCCAGGTCACCGTGCAGTCAGCGGCTCATGATCAGACCCATGCGGGCACCATGGACCTTCATGCCGTCCTTGTAGCAATCCAGGCGCAACTTAGTACGCTTGGACTATTGCAAGCGCAAATCAATGCGCTTGCCCGTGACGTCAACCGCCTCAAGGGCTCTCCCCACCGCTCTCTCCTCCACTCTCACACCCCATCCCGTGTCGGCTCACCGGCCGGTTCCCCACGACTCCGACGACACGGACGTGGTGGTTCTTCCTCCCCTGTGGCTCAGACCCAGCACTTCCACTCAGCAGTGGTGAGTGTCGTTGCCGCTCAAACCACCCCGTTTGTTGCGGCACCTCCTTTGGCCCCTTCCGCCCCTACCGTCTCTACTGCTGCCGCAGGTGCTGCGGTCCAAATACCACCATCTGGCCCAGAAGTTTCATCGACCCACACCGGTGCTGCTTCCCAGCTTCCCGCACCGGTCGTGGCATTACGACTCCGCCCTCTTCTTCCCACCTTCGTTCCCCTACCCCCACAGCAGGGTACCACCCAGGCTGAAACTCCTCCTCTCACTGGGAGACCCGCTCCGCCTCCTCCACCTCCTACCCCGCGCACCCAGCGAGTGGCCACTTTACAGCTCACCATTGCGCCGACTCGGACGAAGATCCCAACCCTGAGACAGCCTCACCCTTCACAGGCTGCTCACCCTTCTTCTTCCTCCACCACCTCCTCGACCCCCATCATATCGGCTCGTTTCCCTCAACCGGCTCCTCGGCCTCTCCCCTCTTACCTAGCCATTCCGGGATAGTTGCCCGCAGTCGTTGCCTCCTCGTCTGGTGGTCCATCCGCCAGCGGCCACAGCCCACAGCCTTCCCCCACCTATGCCCCTGCAGCGGCCCCGACTTACGTCGCTTCAGTGCACTCGCCTCGATCTCTCTCCCCTCGCCATCAACACAGTGGATATCCTCTTGTGCGCACCTCAAACAATCCCGAGTATGATGGCACATCCCGTGTCTCTCGCTGGTTGCAGATAGCAATGCGCACACTCTCGCTGACGACCACCCGTCAGGAGCAGTGGTGCGATGTGCTCGCAACCAAATTGCGAGGCAGTCCGTCCATTGCGTGGGAGGATCAATTATACCCAGCGCCTCTGCGTGGGTGAGGTCCCCACCCTGGCCGACTTCGTAGCCTTCCTTCAGGACCGCTTCGGCGCTCGTCATGACGCCACCGACGCCTTAGACCGCGTCACCTAGACCAAATGGTCCAGGTCCTCTGTACCGGCCAACCTGGAGCGTCACATCCGGGTGTTTCAGGACGCTCGCCTTGTTAGTGACGAGATGTTCCTACCGGAGGTCACACTCACCGACCGGTTCCTCGTCATCCTGCCGACTGACTACCGCGTAGAGCTATGGAGACGATCATTCTCTTCCGTGGAGCAGGCATACGAGGCTGCGTGTCAATACTAAAGGATGTGCAGTTGCTGCTCCGTCTCCCTATTCTCTTCGCGGCCAGCCGCCACCTCCCAGTTTCGTGGTACCACCAGAGGTCGCTCCTCTTTTGATGAGCGTTTTCGTCGCCCGGCTCGACCTGGAGCGTCATTCTCTCGGCACTACAGTTCTCTCGAGTATGGAGAGGACGCCTCAGCCGAGCTCGACCCTACCATTGGGGACGCCCCCGAGGACATCGAGCTTCGGGACGTCATCAAATACCATTTGGATGACGACACTGTCTCTGTGGCCGAGCGCGTGCAGATGGTCATGTCTGCCATGGGTCGTGCGCACAGTCGGGTTGCACAGGCTGGCGCCCGCACACCCACAGTTCATCAGATAGACCTCCCGTAGGGTTTTGTCTCTCCTCGCGGAGCTCTATCCCTTGAGGAGCGTGCCGCCCTTGAGGCCCGGCGTGGCTGCCTTCGTTGCCGCCTGGATGGACACACCTCACGGTGTCCATACCACACCGCCCTCAATTGGAACTATGCTGACATCTCTCGCCAGCGTCGATCTCAGTCCCCCCCTGGCCCCGCCGGACCAGCCCCACCCAGCTAGCCACGATGCAGTGTACCACGTAGTCGGCTTCCCGACCACCGAGTCGCAGTTTGCTCCTTTGGCTACCCCACCAGAGGATCCTCGGGACACGACAGACGCAGTTCCCTCGGCCCCGTCATCTGTCGAGGTACTGTCTGCCTCACAACAGACCGCCGCATCTAGTGCTTCCCCTCCGAGACTTCCGACGCGTCGCGCCATTCGCACAGCCCGTTGTAGTGCTCAGCTGGCGACTCACGATGACGTTGTGTCATCTCTCCTGGACTTTAGCATTCTTCAGGCTCGTCAGGAGCGACTTATGAGACACGTCAACGTCCTGTGTCGTCTTCTCGCTCTGCTTTCTGACCCTGATCGCATCCTACCCATTATCCTTATTCGCCTAGGGACATCCACGAGGGTGTACCGCGCTTTATGGGACTCGGGCTCGCAGAGAGATTTCGTTCACCCTCGAGTGGTTGACGAAGCTCGCCTAGCTACCTCTGGTTTCACTCTCCTATCTCCGTTACTCTCAGAGATAACAAGACACAACGCTTCTTTGATCAGACGATCCCCGACCTCCACTTCTCCCTGACCCTCCAGCCACCGGATAGTACTCAAGCGCCTCGGCGCTACCATTCCTCCGCATACTTCGACGTGCTGGAGACTAGGTACGCCTTTATCTTTGGCACTCCTTGGTCTCGCCGGTTTCGTGGCATAGAGGCCGAATGGGCGACCGAGACACTCGTTCTCAAAACGAAGTGTGGTCAGACTCATCGCGTCCCCTTCATTGGAACCACGGGTGACACACCCTCCCGACCTACCTCCCCAGGACCCTCGTCCCTCAGGGTCCCACCCCGACATCACCTTCACTTCCCCTCCTCAGTTTGCTTACTTCATACGACAGCAGAACGTCACGTTCTACTCGGTGAATGTCATGGATCTTCTTCGCTATGATCCACTATGTCCCGAGGTTGAGCTCATCTCTCTGGAACCCGATCCCCCTGACTCTTCCTCCATCTTCGCGGCTCTCATCTCTACGTCCATCCGTCAGCCTGCGGATACCCCCTCCATATCCCTGCCCTCTACGCCGTCAACTGTTGAGTCCACACATACGTCTCGTGCTGATGCAGACATTGAGGAACTCACACGGTTCACGACAGACTTAGAGCCCACCCTTCGCGACCTGATTCGAGACTACCGCGATGTCATCCCTCCGTATTTCTCATACAGCGGGATCCCTCCGATGCGTGGTGTTGAGCATTCTATCCAGCTCGTGCCTGACTATCGTGTTCACCATCAGGCACCGTACTAACTCTCGATTCCAAAGGCGACGGAACTCAAGCGTTAGCTTGAGGAGCTCCTTCGACTGGGTTTCATTAAACCAGTAACTCCCCTTGGGGGTGCACCTGTCCTCTTTGCTCGCAAAGCGGACGAAACTTTCAGCCCCTGCATCGACTACGGCGGCCTTAATTAAGAACAACTATCCCATGCGCCGCACGGATGAGTTGTTTGACCATCTGGCAGGCAACCGCTTCTTCACAAAGATCGATCTTTGTGGCGGTTATCACCAGATCTGCGTTGCTGCAGAGGATCAACCGAAGACCACCTTCCGGTCGCACTTCGACCACTACGAGTTCACGGTGATGCCATTCGGCCTCACCAATGCACCCGCCACCTTCCATACGATGATGAACGACATCTTCAGGGGCATCCTTGAAGAATACGTTCTCATATACCTGGACGATATCTTGGTCTACAGTCGTATCTTAGAAGACCATATCAGACACATCCGCGATGTCCTGCAGCGCTTACGCAAGCATGACTTTTATGCCAAGCTTAGTAAGTGCCGCTTTGCCCAACGCAAAGTGAACTTCCTAGGACACCATGTCTCTGACCAGGGTCTCCACATGGACGACGAGAAGATCACTCCTATTGCAGAGTGTCCCGTCCCCACATCTGCCAAGCAGCTTCGCAGTTTCCTAGGCCTCATGAGCTACTATAGTAATTTTATCCAGGGATAAACTAGGTATTCATACGTTCTTGCCTCCACCCTCCTCCAAAAGAACCCGCCGTGGTTTTGGACACCCCTCTGCGAGGACGCCTTCCCCGCCCTCAAATAGACGGTGACTTGTGCGTCGGTTCTTCGCCTCCTAGATTTTGATCGCCCCTTCATCGTCACCACTGATGCGTCAGATTTTGCAGTAGGTGCAGTACTTTCTCAGGTGTTTCCCTCTCCTCCTGATTCACCTTATCCCCATGTTCCTCCTTCCCCCCCGGCTCCTGCTGACACTGCTTCTCGACAGACGCCTATCCTTCCACCACTTCCCTCAACTGATAGTCCTCTCATTACTTACTCCCCGACCATCGCAGAGGATGGGACTGTTGAGGTTCGTGTCGGGGATTGCCTGATCGTCTTCTACTCTCGTCAGCTACTGCCTGCTGAGATAAACTACACTGCCGATGAACGTGAGGTTCTCGCAGTAGTTTATGTTATCCGGCATTGGCGTCATTATCTGCACGGGGCGCCCTACACGGTGCGCACGGACAACTCAGTTGTACAGACTTTCCTCACGAAGCCCAAACTTTCCCCTCGACAGGCACGTTGGTGGCGTGACTTATCCGAGTTCAGTTTCACCACTCAGCCCATCAAGGGTGAAACGAACCCCGTTGCCGATGCCTTGTCCCGCCGTCGTGATTACAATCAGGAACCCATCCATCTTGTTGCCATCTCCATCACCATTGTTGATCGGACTGTGATCGACGCATATCGCACCCATTATCGTCACTGTCCGGATTATCGCATCATCCACGAGACACTGCGGAGTGGCAAGACCGTTCCCTCATACTCCCTTGGTGAGAACGGTCTCATGTACTGGCATGGCAGATCTGGTCAGCTAGAACCACGTATCTGCGTTCCCTCCACCAGACAGCTCCACGTCCAGGCAGTAGCAGAGTTCCATGACCAGGCAGTTGCCGGTCATATGGGCTTCCACAAGACATTGACTCGTGTTTGCCGCCTATACGTTTGGCCGAAGTCCAAGGACTTCGTCAAAGCCTACATCCAGGAGTGTCCTACCTGTCAGGAGGTGAATAGTGAGAACCACCTCCCGTATGGTTACTTCAGCTTTAACCCATACCCGAGGGTCGTTGGCAGTCAGTCTCGATGGATTTCATTGGTCCCCTCCGCCCACCCACTSAGCGCGGTCATGATGCTATCTGAGTCGTCATCGATCGCTTCACGAAGCATGCACATTTTGTTCCGTGCCACTATCGCATTAGCGCCCATGAGGTCGCCGACATCGTCTTCGACCGAGTCGTGAGAGATCACGACTTACCTCAGAGCATCATTTTCGACCGTGACCCGCGTTTTACCTGTACATTTTGACGACGCCTACACGAGGTGTACGGATTCCAGCTCCACTTCTCATCGTCTTACTACCCTCAGACGGATGGTCAGATTGAGGTCACCAATAAAACTCTCGGTAATGTTCTCCGAAAGTTTGTTAGGTATGACCAGCAGTGGGACTTACACTTAGCCCACATGGAGATTGCGTATAACCACGTTGTTTCACCGGCCATGGGGATGTTGCCATTCTATTGCGGCCCAGGCTACCACCCTCGCGTACCCGCGGACTTCCTACGACCATCGCGGTTGCGCCCAGACACTCGTTGTTCTGCGCTGGATGACTTGATCGCCCACATGGCAACGATTATGAAGCGCGCACACGAGAGTTTAACCGATTTCCAGACTCGCATGGTCGCACGAGCAAACCGATTACGAATGGATCACCCAGTCAAAGTCGGTGACGATGTGCTCGTCGACGCACGCCATTTACAGCTCGAAGCAGATACGCTTCGCAAGTTCAGGCGTCGTTTTTTCGGTCCATCCCGCATCCTTCAGACCGTCGGTTCTGGTACTGCCGTTAGCCCGGTCAGCTTTCGTGTGAAACTACCTGATTACCTTCGACAGGCTAACGTCTGTCTCTTATACACATCTAGATGTGTATAAGAGACAGCGCCATTTACAGCTCGAAGCAGATACGCTTCGCAAGTTCAGGCGTCGTTTTTTCGGTCCATCCCGCATCCTTCAGACCGTCGGTTCTGGTACTGCCGTTAGCCCGGTCAGCTTTCGTGTGAAACTACCTGATTACCTTCGACAGGCTCGCGTACAAGATGTTTACCACGTATCCTTGCGGCGTCCTTATCGCAGACCGTCTGAGCGCTTCGTCGGACATCCTTATGAGCGCCCTCCACCTATCACGGTGGACGGTCACGAGGAGCTCGTCGTTTTCGACATCGTATCTCGCCGAGTTACCGACGATATGCCTCCATGCATCGAGTACCTTGTGCGTTGGAAGCGTTATCCTGATGAGGAGGCTACTTGGGAGCCCCTCGAGCACTTGGAGCATGCCCGGATGTTGGTGCGTGCATATGATCGTGCTCGTCGTGCTGAGACATCTGCTTCTTAGCTGATTGACCCTCTTCCYCCTCCTCCGGCTGAGGAGATTGCTGAGGACGAGCCCGCTCCCTCTGAGGTCGTTCTTCAGCAGCAGATGGACGCCTTCGCGCGTCCACAGCGCACTCGTCGACGTCCTCGACGTCTTGACGGTTAACACTCTGATCACCTAATATCACCCTACTGACTCACACCATCAGGTACTCCATCATCAGCTTCTTGAAGATGTTAGCGTTTTGCGGCTCTGCTTTGACATCGACCTCGACTCCTACTTCATCGACGTCATCGACCACTTCGACGACTTCAGTTACCTTGTCGACTCCAGCCATTTTATCGGTTTCAATTACTTTGGACGTGACTACTTCACGCCACCACCCTACCCTGTACACTCCCTTGCGTCTGTCGCATGATGGTTCTCACTTAGCTAGGTCTCTTTGAGTTGGGCTCTCCTTTGGTATCGCATAGGCATTGGGACCGTAGCGTTATTTTGGCTTCCTTGCTTCCAGATTTAGCTCCCTCCTCCCTCAATTGGTGAGTTGTGTGCATGTTTCCCTCACCCACTACCCTCATCACCCTAGTGTTGGCCCTTGCATGCCTTCAGTTAGGCATATCTCCACCCTATTCCAAGGTCCCCTTTTTTTCATGGTCGACCCTGCATGGTGTCATCCTTTTGTTGAGCATTACCCGCCCTGATGGTCTATCTGTTAGGGTCCTTGGTTTTGTTTCGCTGCCACTCTCCCACCTTGAGCCTGATGACCTATCCCACCTTCACATGTGACTGCCCTTAGGAGTTTCGATTTTTAGACTGCATTCACCCCCTCTGAGATCATCCCACTCTTAGTGGTTCAGGGACATGACATAAGCTTGTGACATATTGTTTTTTTTCCTTTCAGCACTGAGGCAATTGCCTCTAGGACTTTAGGATTGTATATTGCTACATTTTTTATTTTTTTTTTGGCTAGGATGTGTATACCAGACATTTGTGTTTCATTTGACATTATGTAGCTTAGGCTGCATCGCATGGACTCCACATGGAGCGTGCTTCGCATCTTAGATTTCTCAGCTTTCTTTTTACTGCAGAGTTCCGCTGCTTTTGCGGATAGCGTGTTTATGGCTCTTGCGATCCATTACAAGTCTGAAGATCGTGCAGCGGGCCTCCATCTGCCCTGGCCTATAGCCAGGGTCTATTTGGCTATTTGTCAGTTCGGTCTGTGGGACTAGGCCGTGGCTTGACCCCACAGGCCGTGTGTTGTTCCAGTCCTGCCCGGTATCACTGTCGGTACCAGGCCAATCCAGTCCAGTCAGTCAGTCCGATGTTGTCTGTTTTTCGTCATTCATCATTTCTGCACTTGTTGGAGTACGTGCGGTGTTGAGTCTGCGTCGGAGCTGCGCTGTCCCTTCCAGCTCCATCTCCACTTCCTCCTTCCTCTACCCCTTCGTCTCCATCCTGTCAGACCACCATCCCGGCGGGTCCGACACACAACAGGAAAAGTAATGTCGGTTTGGGTAGGTCATCCCCCTCCTCTCTCTCTCTCTCTCTCTCTCTCTCTCTCTCTCTCTCTCTCTCTCTCTCTCTCTCTTACGGCACCAAGAAACAGGACGGTAGTGTTGGGCTATCGGGACATTCTGGCCACTTTAAGGTGAGGTCGAGTTGTCAAAACCCGTCCCAGGCAGCACAACATACCGTAATCTTCCGAAGCTCGTTGAGCTCTCACGAAGGCCAGATAACCTTCTTCAGGATCGTCACGCAGTTCATTGAAACTATCACTTCTGCAAGGATTATGCTGGTCACCTAGCCACATCATGCCCACAAAATTTTGTCATTAATACTTTAGAGCACAAAGAGCAGGTTCTGGGGAGAGGGCAGGTACCAGGGCAAGCAATCCCTATCCTGCCCATGAGGACGGCGCACGACCGTCGTGGCCTCGGAGTAGGTGCACTGAGGAACGAATGGTCACAGAAGCCCACCACGTCTCCAGACAAGACAGCATTCGTTCTAGTTAGTGCTTCCAATATTCCGACCTCCTTCAATGTGGGGATGGTTAATCAGCCAACGCAGATATCTCAGTCCTCCGGTAGCAAAACAAGGACAACTGTTTGGAGACAAGTGGCTCAAAACGCTGCGTTAAAAGCCAATCATGCACAGGCAGGGGGGTCCATCCTTGCCTCAGCTACGGTTGAAAAGGAGGTAATAGAGAAAGTATCAGAGTTAAAAATCTCTAATCAAACCAAGAACAAAGGGGAAAAGGATGGAATCCTTACAAAGCCATTAGTGGAGCTGGTTGAAGCAGCAACTGCCCTTCCCCTGAACGAAGCAGTCACCCCCACCCCCAACAACCGTCACATCACAGACACAAAGAACCCTCTCTCAAAGGGAGAAGAGATCAAGGAGAAGGGAGAAGACAGCAAGGGGATGGGAAGAAAGACGGCAGGCAAGGAAAGGGGACTTGAAAGTCTCCAGGCAGAACAAGGGAAGGAGGAATTAGAAGAGGATATGGATGAGGATGAGGAGGATGCTCGGTCGGATGCCTCCTTCCAGGACTCATCAAGCTCATTTGAGGACGCCGTGGTGCCAAAAGAAAAAAGAGGGAGCAAATAAAATGAAGAGGAGGCCAAGGTAGGAACGGCCAATGCATCACACAAACAAATTGGGAAGGAGGAATTAGAAGATGATAGGGCTGAGGATGAGGAGGATGCTCGATCAGATGCCTCCTTCCACTCATATGACTCGTCCATCTCATTTGACGACGCCGCGGTGCCAAAAGAAAAATTTAAAGAAGGAGAAAAGAAAAAGGAGAGGGGGCGAAGGTAGGAACGACCAATGCATCACACAAACAAATTAAACCACCAGTACTTGGCCCATACATCAGCCGTGGGGCGTTCCCGTTAATGCCCCGCAACTTCCAGAGGCTCGGGGTACGGGCCCTCAAAGGCTGGCACCGCCAGCCAAAACAAGTTTTTTTTGTTGCGCTGGTGGGTCGGCGCGAAACGGCCCGCAGCCCGTTTTCAGGCTCGGCATCTATAGCTGGGCGAAGTACTGGTGGTTTAAGTAGACAAAAGCGCTGGCCTCATCAGATCTTCAGGGTCCCACTAACAAGTATTTTGTACCCCTCATATGCAGACAACCCCCCAAAGGTGTGAGGTTTTTAACCTACAACAGGGAATCAAGCATCAAACACCTCACGCCCTTTGTTGTGGCAAGCAACCCTAGCAGAAATACAATGTTGGAAAAAACCAGGAATTACCTTGGGCCAAAAGTGGTAGTGATACAGGTCCCAAGCACAAGGACAAGGAAGATGGTCCGGCCCAACTCAACAGGGAAAAAACTTTATATTTTGTGGCTGCCTTTGATGTCCGTCCCACGGAATCAGAGCTTGCTGAGTTGGAATCCTGTCATGCCTTTTGGTGTCCACTGGAATGGGCAAAGGAAGAGGTTGTAATCCATGTCAAAATTATCTATACGGTTGATGCCATCTTGGGGGATGTAATCCTGGACTACAACCAACAATTGGTCGCAGACTCCAATCTCTTTTCTAAGTTTTTTGCAAGGCTCCTATCTGTTCCATGGCGGAACAGCATGGAAAAGCCTGCAGCATCAGGTCAGAGGAGACGTAAATCAAGCATAAACTCGTTGTTGTCAGAAAAGGAAATGATTGTGGGTGTGGGCCCTTTTCCTGATGGGGATACGACTATGGAGGTAGGGGAGGTAGATAAGATTTTTCGCTTTCCGGCGCCACACATCTCCCTCATCCAAAATGTAGAGGGTCTCAGTGGTAATGAATAAACTAAGGGTTGGGACATGGAATGTTCATGGCCTTGGAGATGGGAGTGTTACTCATAAATGGGCCAAAATTAAGTCTTGGGTGCACCAGAAAAAAAATGATATTCTACTAATCCAGGAAACCAAATTAAACGACAAGAAAATCGAAGAGAATAGATAGAGGTGGCAAGGACCACAGTTTTTGGGCCCTGCAGATGAAACAAAAGGTGGAACAACAATCCTGATTAGCAAGAATCTATGTTTCGTACACATAGACGATTTCGCAGACTCAATGGGGCGTTGGCCCGTCGGGTATGGGCCACCATCTCAATGAAAGCGACTCCATAGACTATAATGTCTATTTATGCATCTGTGATCATGAGAGATAAGTTGCTATTTTTCGAGACTCTTCCGCATATTATTCCCCCCACAAACAGTCTAGTGGTAGAAGGAGACTGGAATACCATTCTAGACCCCCTACTAGACTCCACCTCAAGCGACCCGATGAGGGAAGACTTCAAAGCAGTCAACCGTTTCCTGGAAACGCAGAATCTGGGAGACCGTTTCAGGTTGTTATACCTTGAATCCCAGCAATACACTTGGATATCCCCAGTAGCCAGGGTTAATAATCTGCACACAAAACTCTACCTGGATTTTTTTCGTAATAAGGCATAGACCAATGATAGCCTGTGACGAACCGTTTTCTGCAACCGCGCGATTTTTTGCGCAAGGCTCCTTCGGGGGTTGAATCAGGATGACTTATTGGATTGCATGGGTGCCCAAGGCCAGGATAGTCCCACGAAGGTTGGTAGTTGATCGTGCCTCGGCGAGCGTGAAGGATAATTGTTGTCATAGCTTCTTTCTTGTTCTACTGAGGGAAATGGGAATTTTGGCGTGATCGTCGCACGGGAAAATCTTTCCTGAATTTTAACTGATGTCGAGCCCCCGTGAGCTCTCGAAATTTGTTTCCTTCGGAATTTCTTTCTGCAATTAGGATTTAGATTATGAATTCAGGCGCATCTAAATTTCTTTTGCACGACGCTTCTTGCTTGCGCACGCTTTGCCGCGTCAGGATATGTGCTCTGACTTTTTCGCACCTTAATCCTTGCGTGTAACTATAATTTTTGTTTTGGTGGGCATAATTGCAACTGTAATCCTCTAGTTCTTGATATCTTTTGTGGCGCCCCTGTGCGCGCTGTCGAACCAAGTACCCGTACAAGGGTATTTGGCCATGTTTTTGCAGTTGACATAGCGACGACATCAGTTACCATAACGGGGCTGGTCTGAAATGAAAAGGGTGTACGCACTTTAGCGTGACACTTGAAACGATTTCCTCAGCTATTGAGGCCGGGACAAATCGGTGAACAAAGTTTCGAGAGTATGCGCGCGTGTTGTTATGACGCACATTGTGGTGGTTAGAATCGGTAATGATACCCTCCGACCGAAAAGGATGAGGGGTTGATTAGGTTAGTAATGTGTAAGGTACATCTACGACACTCACTTTGACTTGGGCTGGTACCTGTTTACCTACCAGTATTGGGCCTATAAAATTGTCAATTTTTGTCTTCTTCTGCTCAGCATCTCGAGTACTCGGCGCATCTACCTTTACTTGGTGTGATACCGGCCTACCTGCTACTTGATTGTTTTTCCGCTGTCGCGGGCCTCTTTCCCCGCCGCTTGAGTATTTTCCCCGCCGCAACCCTCAACGTCACGATTAAAGGTAAGTACCGGCCCTTTAGGCCTTCCGAGCAACCACGTACCCTTGCGGGTCACATACACACTCAAGCCGACAAGCACTCAGACAGACACGCAGACCAGCAAGTGTGCTCACACACGGGCTTAGAATTGGATTGGGGCCATCAACAGAAAAAAATGTTGGGGTTTTTTTTTAGTGTTGATCACGGGTTCTTAACCCGTTTCAACTGTTTAAAAATTGTTTTTAAACTGTTTTTCCTTGCACATGCACCTTGGTCAACAGGAAGCGATGTAAACCAACGTTGGAGAATTATGTTGTCCACATGAAGTGACAAGATAAACAGTTGAACTTTGTGTTGGTAAATAGTTTTCAATCTGTTTATAATCTGTTGAACTGCGTAGGGCACGTTGAACTGTGTGTTGCTAAACAGTTGTTAAACAACTGAACACAGGACTTCGTGTTGGATATGAAATTCGATTCATGATGGAAATGTGATGGAAATGTGATGAATTGTGTTGGAAATGTGATGAATTGTGTTGGAAATGTGATGGTGTCATGTTTGGAATGATGGCGGCTGCCTGTTGACGAGATGTCCATTCATCTCGACGCATGCATGCGTCGATCGGAGCATTGTAGAGCATTCGATTGAGGAACTCCGTGAATCGGTCATTGTCGGAAAAACCTGTTGTTCATTGGGGATCTTGATTTAACAGTTTGGTTTAAGATGGAATGCGATCTTTTATGAGACTAGGTTCCCGCCTTTCTTACTGAACCTTCATGCAATCAAACAATGCACTTTTGTGACTGAGCCAGATCGTCCCCTCGATGCCGTCCTCCGTCCC